TTAGGTTAGTAAAACGTAAACTAGTCGTCTCTCTCGCTCCTCCTACTTTACTTCTCTCTACACTGATTCGTACCTACCTTCGTCAACCAACGACAAACCTAACCTCTCTCTCTCTCTCTCTCTCTCTACTGAGCCTTCCATTCTCTTTCTTCTCTTTCTCTCTCTAGGCGACCTATGTCTGCTCTCAAAGAGGGACTAACCCGGAGGCCAGTGGCGGCCACCATCAAGCTAACTGTACCAGCCGGCCAAGCTCGACCAGCCCCACCAGTTGGTCCAGCTCTTGGTCAATATCGCCTCAATCTGATGGCGTTTTGCAAGGATTTCAATGCAAGAACCCAGAAATACAAGCCTGAGACTCCAATGGCTGTCTCTATAACAGCTTACAAGGATAATACCTTTGATTTCACTGTAAAATCTCCTTCTGTTACTTGGTATTTGAAGAAAGCAGCTGGTATTGAATCAGGGAGTAGCAAGCCTGGTCATGTAGTTTCAGGAACAATAACATTGAAGCATATTTATGAGATTGCAAAGGTGAAGCAACAGGATCCATATTGCCAATACAAGTCTTTGGAGTCGATTTGTAAGTCGATTATAGGCACTGCAAATGCAATGGGGCTTAAGGTTTTGAAGGAGTTAGAGTAATGGGTTTTTCTGTTTTAGGTTGAATGTGGTGTTAAGGGAATTGGAATGAGAAACTTTGTGATGTGTTTCTGTTTAAGAATGAATATGAGGAAATGCAAAAAAAAGTTTTGTCTTTTTTAGTGTGTTTCTAATTGCTATTTGGAGGTTAAGAAATTTGTGTTTTTTTTTTTAATAAGTCTTTTGGAATTTAAAATGACGAAATGCAATGAAAAGTTTTGGTTTTTTTTAGTGTGTTTCTAATTGCTCTTTGGAGGTGACATTTGTTTTTTTTCAATAAGTCTTATTGGAATTTAGGAAATGTAAATGAGGATCTTTAAATTTTTTATTTGGGTTTTTTCTTTTTTAGTTATTTCTGTTGTGATCAATACTTTGCATAAACATCCCAGTATGGAGTGGGATAAACATCTCAGTATGGAGTGGGATAGGTATTGGGGAAGAATACTTTGGATTCGAGTCATCAAATATGTAATTTTTTGTTCTAAAGGAATTGGAACTTTTATGTTTTCCATTTGCAGGTTTTTTTGTTTTTGGTGCCTTCTTAAGATTGTTAGCCCTTGCTTATAATTACTCTGTGACTTTTAAAAGTGGTGGTTGTGGAAATAGCACACATGTTGAGTTGAGTGTTTGGGAAACGATATTTAAAGGTTTCCATTCATCCATTAACCATATTTTTTATTTAATAAGTATTACAGGTATTTCTTTGAATGTTTGGGAAACGATATTTAAAGGTTTCCATTCATCCATTAACGATATTTTTTATTTAATAAGTATTATAGGTATGTAAGAAATGGAAATGAGGATGTTTAATTTTTTTTATTTGGATTTTTTCTCTTTTGGTTATTTCTGTTGTGATAATACTACATTTTCGGACGTCTTGCATAGTTTTGCACAAACATCACAGTATCTGTTGTGATCAATACTACATTTTGGGACGTCTTGCATGGTTTTGCACAAACATCACAGTATCTGTTGTGTTCGATATTGGGACGTCTTGCATGGTTTTGCACAAACATCACAGTATCTGTTGCGATCGATACTACATTTTGGGACATCTTGGGTGGTTTTGCACAAGCATAACAGTATGGGGACGTCTTGCATGGTTTTGCACAAGCATAACAGTATGGGGACGTCTTGCATAGTTTTGCACAAACATCACAGTATGGAGTGGGATAAGCGTACAGTATGGAGTGGGATAGGCGGGGTGAACATCACAGTATGGAGTAGGATAGGCATACAGTAATGGAGTGGGATAGGCATTGGGGAAGGTTACTTTGGAATCGAATCACAAATAGGTAATTTTTGGTTCTAAAGAAATTGGAACTAAAAATAGTTTTGTTTTCTATTTATATGTGTTTTTTTTTTTGCTTTCTTAATATTGCTAGGACTTGCTTATATTACTCATTTATGTGACTGCTAAACTTGCTTATATTACTCTTTTCTGTGACTGCTAAGAGTGGTGGTTGTGAAAATAGCACCGAGTTGAATCTTTGGGAAAAGATATTTAAAGGTTTCCATTCATTCAATATCCATCTTATTGATAGTTTGTGTTACTTACATTGACACACTCTATATGAACATAAATCATGCAGTTCATGAGTAGGACGGCTCTATAGGCTGTGGACAAGCACATAATGTCCAACACTATCCCTTGTTAGAGGAAACCTAAGCAATGTGCAAATATGTAATGTCTAATTTTGCAACATAATGACATTATAGTGTGCACTGTTCACCAAAAACTCGTTGCTGAGAAAGCAATCTTTGCGTGTAACAATTGTTTTACCAAGAGCTAAGGCCTGTCTCTAAACATAGTCTTTTGCTATTTCTACCTTGTGAATTGTTTATAATACAACTGCTGTAGCCAGTACATGGAGCTATCTCTGTATTTAAATGCTGATCATCCTCAATTCATTTATTTCGAGCATGGTATTATAGCCTGGACAAGCTATTGATTGGTGTACTTGACTATCACAAGCTATTGTTCTCGCTATTTGACGGTGAATATCTCTCTACCAAACCACAAATCTCTCTCTCTCTCTCTCTATTGACGAGATTCTCTCTCTTTCTCTGTAAGAGAATTGTGGTGTGTGAGAGACAACAGGGGCATATCTGTCATCAGTTTGAGACCTGAGATTACATGAAAAAGAGGAGCTAAATAAATTTCTTATCTTTGGAGGATAATTGTATTTGATGGTTCTCAAACACCGTCCTCTTGTTTTTGAGGATCCCTCTATTAGAAAAGAAGTTGGTAGTAGTAGTAGGAGGGAGATAAGGGAGGGGGAAAGTAAGGCATTGAGAAACACCAGCATCAACAGGAGGTTAGAGAGAGAAGAATCGCCAATGCCGATGTGGGATGCAATTCTCATTTTCGGATTGATATATTCTCTCATTTGAAGTAGACAAGAAAAATTGGGAAGGAAACAGTCTTATTCTCCTCTCTTAAGTGGATAGGAAAAGTTGGGGAAGGATGTAACACATGGTGAATTGGGTTTTAATAGTATTAGGTTCTACAAAAAGAAGGGGGGGAGAGGTGATCAACTACAATCATGATTTTTTTCTCTTAAGAGTTTGTTGTTTGCCATGCCTTTGTCTCTGTAGATTACTGTTCAAATTCCCATTTGCGAATATGTGGGCTCTTCCTGATCCTGCCGTCGAGCATTGCCTCATCCTCATTGACTTCTTGATTGTGGATTGGGCCCAATTAATTTGTAAACGTGTAGTAGATGATGTGGTGGGGGCAAAACTAATTAGTATTAAATGGTAACCTTAAGGAGGTGGAGTCAAGCTACCTTTTGGTACGGGGAAATGGAAGGTGAAGTTTCGAGGAAATGGTAATATACCCTTTTTCAATATTACTTTTCATGTCCGACTCCAAAGAAAAGAGGATTACATAGGGACTTCTTATATCAAGACAATGATGAAGCGTACAAGTATGATTTGTCAAATGGGAGGAGATTTGTGAGCCCATGAATAATGGGGCTTGGGATATGACATTCTGCAGTACGTGGGGCTAGCATGTTCTAAGAAAGGTCCAGGCTAAAGGAGGTGGGTTGTGTTAGGTAGGCAGCTAACGTAAAACTTTGTCAAAACTTTCTATGAATCCTGAATGGGCAGAATGACAGACCAAGATTCGTGTAGCCAGACCAAGATTCGTGTAGCCGACCCCAAATAGTTGCAAAAAAAGCTCTGATGATGATGATGGTGATGATGATAATGATTTGACTATCACAAATCAAACGTCGACAATCATGGGAGAGAATCTCCATCCAGCTCTAGAGTAATTTATTTTTAAGAAATAAATTATGCAGCCGTGGCTATAATAACAGAGTTTGGTGCTTTACTTCAGCGCATGTTTTAGATACCAATCCTTGCTTCTGGTTATACGAATGCATAGGGACTAAGAAATGCAAGAAAGTCAGTAATATCTTTAGGAACCGTGAAGTCAGTATGAAGACAATTATGGAGTTCCAGATATTTGAAGTGTAAGGAAAACAACTACTTGTTGATTTCTGTTAATGTGCTTGAGGATTTTTCTAGCCCTGACATATTCAGTATTGCATAATTTCTTTTGATTGTGATGTACTATTGCATAGTTACTTTGAGTAAGCTATACTTTTGTTTGTTATATCCTGCCTTACTGAGACAGTTCAATTTGGTCATATCTTTATGTACAATCAACTTCCTGGTTCACATTGAAGTTTCCCAATCCGAGCTACATTACTTTTAGAGACAGTAATGTCCTCAGCACAACGAAGAAGATGAGACATTCAAAATAACATAGGGAAAAAAAAAATATAGAAAAGAAAAATAGCTGAAAAGAAAGGAAAATCCTTTAAAATCAGATCATTGTATAGATGTTTGAAATCTTGCAGAGCCAACCCTTGGGGCTTGCTATTCATCAAGAAAAAACCCTTTGAGCATGCTTAATATTTCAAACCATGTAGTACCTGCTTCAGTTTGCAAAGATGTTGAGTATAGTGCGATCTCTGATTGCTTGCAAGCATATAGATTTCTATTTTCTTTTCTTATTAAATGAATGTGGTTATAAATCAACTGCTAGGTGTTATTTTGTCAAAGGTGATGCCATTGTTTCATAAATACATTCTTACAAAGAAAGTTTAATATAATCTTGTCCCTCCAACAAAGAAGTAAAAAGCACAATGTAGTTTTGTGGATTGTTTTAGATGCTTCACAATTGAGACTTGCATTATTTCTCAGTTTGGAAAATACTTTGTCTCGGTTTGGAAAGGTTACGGTAGTTTGACTAGCTTCATTTGAACTGGGGTTTGTTTTTGCATGGTGAATTTTCTAGTGATATTTACTATCCTCAAAAAATATCATCATCAGGACTTAGAAGATTGGTTTTGTTTTGGTAATTTGGTTTGATCAACAGAGCAGCAAAACCAGGTTTGATTTGTTTTCCTTTTCATCTCTTGGGGAATTGTTTCTTAGGGATAGTCCATATCTTTAACAACCAGATTTTACCAGTTTCCCTTTTATATCTGAAGGGACTAACTTTGGTATGGTATACAAGTTCATTTTATTTTTTTCAAGTCTTACTGAAATATAGGTTCATGTGATGTTGCATGGATGATACATGAGTTGGCTTTCGGGTATCTACTGGTTTGGTTGGAGTCTATCTGATGATACATTTTCTAGTGTCTTGCAAGAAGCAGTGAGATTATGGTTAGCAGAATCCACGTGGGTTTTGAAGTCCACGGTACTTCAATGGTATAAGGTCGATTCCTTAGATATGTATCCAAGGAGATCAGTGACACATTGTCTACTAGCCAAGTACTTGGGGAAATTTTGGCACTAATTGGGTGTATTTAAGTGCATGCATGTAATGCATATACTTATAGAACGGGTTCTATGATCCGTATATTGTCAGATTCTGGTTTGCCCCACCACTATTAGTCACTGTCCACGGATTTGAGGCTGATGACCACAGACTTTCTATAGTTATGTGAACCATTAGCGTCCTTCCCCTTGAAATAATATTTTCCTTGATATAGAATCAAGGGAATTTGATCAAAACGAACCTCAGATGTACCATTTAACCTCCCATACATTTTCTTTTAATCTAGATTGAGAAAAGAGTTAAACGACATATCATCGTATTCACCTTTCCATCAAAACTTGTGGGAGAGACTATTCTGTTTCACCTTTCAATCAAAAGGTGTTTTAGTCAAAACCAGTTTCCTCAAGCTCTCCCAAACTGTCCTATGTCTCCTCCTCTTTTCCTACCTTGCGAAGGCCTATCTCCTTCAAACCTGTCTCCTCTCTCTCTAAACAGACCACTCTGTCTTCTCTTTCTAGATCTGACTTTTCATCACACACTTCCCAACAGCTCCCTTCATCCTTGCAGTTAACACCACCCTTTTCTCTCTCTCATCTCCATCTCCGTCCCCATCCTCTCTCTAGGCTTTCCGGACTTCGCTTCCCTCAACTGATTTCTCTTAATTCTTTCTGGTTGCAGCTGCTATCCTCTATTCCACAATCCGCACAAACGCTCTGGTGGTCTGCAACTTGGCCATGGTAGTGAGTGGTATAGAGAATTGCAATGGATTTGTTACCATTTTGAAGGTCTATAGTTTAATGAGGGGAAGACCAACCACTTCCATCTCATTCTCTTTGTGCTCCAATCTTAACTTGGCTGCAGTCTAGGCCCTGTTTAAGTACGGTCAAAGTTTCTTGTTACTTATCTGCATCTTCTTATCATCCTGAGATGAATTGGGAAGGGCCATTTGCTCGTCTACTTCATTATTCACAATGCTTGATTTGCTAATGTGGTGTCGGTTTGTGGTCTTTAAGACTTGCAAGCTTGCTTCTCTCTCAGAACCAAAGGATTTTTGGTGTTTATTGAGAGTATTGGATGATGAAGTAGGTGTCAAATTCATGCTCTTAGAAGGTGTCGTGTGTTTCGTATTGGGTTTTGGCCTGCTTATTCTAACCTGATTATAAAGCTCCCATCTCTACTAGTTACTCTCTAGTTTTTTTCGGATCTGATTATTTCTCTGTATGTGTGTATATGTGAGTGTGTCAATCATGGATCTTTTCATGCTGTGTGTGTGCGTGCATGTTGCTATCTGGTATGGAGCTTTTCTTTCTAGCTGTCTGTGGGATACGAATGACAGAATGAGAAAGCACTTTTCAATTTTTTCTTTTGACAAAAAGAAAAAAAAAGAAGCAGCACTTTTCAAAGGCAGAGGCTTATCCATCAGGACATAACTCTCTTCTCCACCCCTTGTTCTCTACCCAAGCTCTCTGTGCACTACTATTCAAGACTCATGGTGCTAAGTTAGTTTAGAGAAAGGAGTAGGGAGAGCTTGGTTTTTTCGGTTGGGGGGTCGGTTGTGGCTAGCAAGTAGGGAGAGAAAGGGGTCATGTAATGGAGGAACCGAGTAGTGTTGATTGAGGGAAGAATTAGGGACAAGTTGTGATGGATGTATTTATCAAAAAATTATTATGTATTGTTTGAAAAAATGATGTATGTATTAAAAAATTATTATTATTTGTTTAAAAAAAATATGAAGATGACATAAATATCTTTTTTTTTTAGTGACATTTATATAAAGAAAAAGTTTATATAGAGCTGAAGCTCTAAACAAACAAATTAAAGCCCACCTTCCAAATATCTTCAAATTGATCTTCTTGAAATCAAGATGTATGGACATGACAAAAAAATAGATTTCAAGTTTTGGAAATATGTATCTTGTAACACATTTTTGGACTATCAATTTTCAAGTTTTCATGGATTTGTTCGATCTATGCTATTTTTTAAGTTTTAAATTTATTATTAAAGATGAAAATATATTTTGAGGCTATCACAAAGATTTTCAGGATTGAAGGTGCACTTTACTTTGATTGTTTAGAGTTTCGGCTCTATACAAACTGCACCTTTTGTATAAAAACACTTACTTGATGAACAAGATACCACAAAAAATAATTTTTTTTTTTTTAAAAAAAACCACATAGTTATT